TCGTACCGTCCCGACATGAGACTGTTTACTCTGACGAGACACTCATCCTCCATAATCACGGCTGTCTTAAAAACATCTCCCTTTTCAGAGTAGCCATCTGTGTCGCTTCATCATCAGAGGGACTTACGAAAAAACACATTAAAGAACTTGATAATTAGCCTGGTTCTAAACTGTGTATTTAAATGTGAAAGTATGTGTTCTTCTGTTATCAAGAAGAGAATCTAAATATGAAGTCAGAGCAGCCCCCAGTTGAACATGATCTGAAAACAGATGTATGGCCTTGGTTTGAAATATAATTAGCAGATGATTGTTCCCTAGGTACGTTGTGTTTAGAGAACATATCAAAATACCTAGCCAAGGTTTCCAGCCTTAGTTCACATGAGGCCACTGGGAAACGTTATGTATGGAAAAGCCCTGGAAGAGATCTGCTGAAGTGTTGGAATAAAACTTTGATGTAAGAAAGAAAAGTACTTCTTTCATCTCCTTTAAATCAAAGGTGGTTAGCGTCGACAGACTGTACTTAACTGGGAGCTTGCTTGTTGGGATGCACTCATGTGGCCTGCATGTTTACGACAGGAGGAAGATGAGGAGGTTCTGTAAGTTCAAAAAGTCAGAGAGGGGTAAATGGTGTGAGCCGTTTCCTCCTGACAGCAAACGTGTCCCTGACATCAAGTACAAGTCAGTGTTACTGTGTTTAATGGTTGTGCAAGACAAAGGCAGAATCCCAGCTTCTCATGTGTAGGAACTCGGCTTTGAAAATGAAGTCAAAATAGGGGTCGAAGCAGGCAGCTCACGACTGCACAAATACAAACAAACCCACTGGTTAAAAAGATAGCCGAGTTCATTGCAAAGAGAAATATAAAACATAATGTCCTGGGAGTTTTCACAGCATTACGAAATATAGATTTTTCCTTGTCTACAAATATTGCCAAGAAATCCGAGCAGGAAATTCCTCAGAATACTCTGTCAGAGCTGCTTACCGGACCGTTAAATAACACAGACACCCTCCACCCACACATATTCAATTAAAGAGGCTGTTTCCAACCATTTCCTTTACTTTACAAAAAGAACAATCAATCAATATTCACACTTCAAGCTGTGATTGGCCAGAAAATGTGAATCCCAGATGTTCCAGATGCTAACCCTTGCACTGGGTCATCATCCCAAGCCAAGAACAAGAACATGGACACACCTGTTCCTCAGACTCCCCTCCCTCTGAGCGCAGCTTAATCTGAATCCCAGGTTCCTCTGAATCTGCCAATTCCTTCGCGATGGCTCACCTGATGATGTAAGGATCGAGGCAGACAGACAGACTACTATTCGTGACCCGTAACAGAACCTCTGTGTCGGAGAAGACCTGGAAATGCTATTAAAGTGACGACAGGGCCACAGGCTAGACGGGATGAGACCATGACTAAGTCTCAATGACTGGAAATGGATGGAAAAGATCTGTCAGGAGGCTGCCTGTAATATACTTAAGTGTAATGAGTGGGTGGGAGGTGGATGATTATGATTATTCTGGCAACACAATTATTAAGAAAATGTTCTTGGATGCTCAGGTTTTGTTCAATGTACTTCTTCGGTGTTTGAATAAAGAATAAAATACAGTGGATGTCCGAAAAGTAAAGCCCAACTTTTAAGCGTTTTTTGAATCAGATGTCCATTTCTAGGAGACGTGTATATCCACATTACTACTTCCCCTTTCAATGGCCACCATAGAGGTTTTGATGTCCGCTCTGCAAGCTGAGGGAACTGTACCGAATGGAAAGTGACGTCACACATCCTCTCCTTAAATTGTTACATTCCTAGTAATATTACTAACCAATGAACACACAACACTTTCAAATCTCTACAAATAAAATGATACAGAAAAGCCAATCTGTGTATTCCAGCGTTTTAACTGTGTGCTGGGACACACTGCACTCTTCTTGGCCTCTGTCACACTTCCAACGCTACTTCCCAATGTCCAATAATTCCTTTACGAGGGTTCGGTGACACGCACTGCTGCATATTAAATAGAGCGCAGATTGGCTCTTGAAACAATAAAAAGTAGGATTCGTATTGAAGTGGTTCAATAAAGAAATATTAAAATGTCATTGACTTTTTGTTGGCCTGCACAGAACTGCATTTTGCTCAATGGTAATGAACCAGTCTGGAGTTTGACTCTCTAGAGATCAGAGGACTTCCCTCCTGGCTCTCAGATTCTGCTTTCTCATCAAGGCTACTCCCAGTTGGTTTGAAAAAACAAACCAGTACAAGAGAAAGCTAGCTTAGTGGGTGTAATCTGCCTCTCTGTAGCTTCACATGAGGCTATGGTGCTAATTTGTACTTGGTCTACCCTTTGTCAAACCTCAGGCTTCAGCACTCAGGTTTGTGGATGTTCTTTTAACCAAAGAAGAGGAAAAACGATTTGGTCAGAGTTTAAAAATGTAGTTCTTCTTTTGAATGAGATCAAAACGGCAGTAGTTCCGAATTTGAGATGTAGGTTTAGACTGTTGAACCAAATAGCTGCCGGTTTGTTGACATAGGTCTGAGGTTTACAAGGAACTCGTTCCACAGAATAGGGAATCTCAAGACTTATATAAGCGTCAAACACTAACCGTATTTCGGTGGATACCATTCGATGTAAACCAGGAATTTGCTCTCATTTCACAAAGTAAAATGTCACTGTTTCCAGCTGAAAGAGTATCTCCACACATCCCTATAATTTGGTAGGCAACAAATATGTGATGGCTTTATGAGGCCAATAAGTAAGTTTGTGGAAATGTTTTTCTTTCTTTGCAGATAAATTGCTGGTTCTAACAGTCGCAACAGAGGAAACAGACGGATTCCTCCGCTTCATGAGGTCTGCAAACTACTTCAAGTACAATGTGAAGGTAAGATTCGAATATTACACCCACAGTGTGTCCGAGCTAACGAGGCTGCTCTCTCTCACATACACACACACAGAGCAGCCAAATGTTTTCATCCCACACTTCCCAAGATTGATTAGGCCTTTAATGGAAACAATGAAGTGCACCAAGCTGCAAAAACATCCATCTTAAAAGGGATACTCCCCGATGTGGGTCCAGAATTCCCTTCTGAGGTTGAAACCAGCGGTGAAAGAAAAGGTTGTTGGAGGTCAGAGTTAGTGCAGCGTTTGCTCCATACTCTGCTTCTCTGTGTGACCCCGCAGTAATCTAACTCCTGCAGGCGCTCACTTCAAGCTACTTTTCTAGCCTTTGTGAGCCCTCAGCGGCCGACTTTTCTAAATAAGACTTAATGTTGTCCATTTCCTGTTATGCTTTGCTTGATTATATTGCTTCTCCAGGCTTCGTGTGCCTCATCTTCGTTCAGAAAAACCAATGAGAGCAAATGAGTTATGATGTCGAGCTTTTTTCCGTTTACTGTTGAGACAGTGCGGTTCTGTTTTTTGGCAGCACTGACACACAAGCTTATGAAATGTTCTAGCCCTGTTTCAAAAGAGTAACATAACTGCCTTCATTTCCAAAGCTCTAGATTTTTTATGAAAATATTGAAGTACCAATCTTACTACACTTTAGAACAGGGGTTCCCAACCTTTTTTCCGAAGAGCCCCCCCAAATGACTCCTGTTGGAAGTTGCGGCCCCCCCCCACCACACACACACACACACACACACACACACACACACACACACACACACACACACACACACACACACACACACACACACACACACACACACACACACACACACACACGTAATGGTGCGTATTTGTAAGATTAGTGGGTGTTATTAAAGAAAAGAAAAACAGGAAGAGCATATCAGTATAACTGCCCTATAAGAGCGTCCTTCTTGACATTCATTCTGCAATTCTAACTGAAATTACAGCACACATTCAAGTGAGATGCATATTCAGGTTCACAGAAAACAAAACCATTATAATGACCAGAGCAAAAGGAGCTTTGATGAAAAGCATTATCTTCATTTTACGACCGCATACTGCATACAGAGACAACATAATGGCACTGATTATTTACGTAAACGCTTTCATAACAATAAAAACTAACCGCTGTCTTCAATGTGTTTTATGACATCAATTCATCATAAGCTTTATAATAATGTGACATGTCTACAGTAAGTCTTTATTTAAAGGGGACCTATCATGCAAAATGCACTTTTGTACGTCTTGTTATACATGAATATGTGTCCCCGGTGTTCCAGGGAACTCACCAAGTGTCAGAAAACACAACCCTCTCTATTTTCCTCCATACCCAAATCTCTTAAAAAGGGGCTGCAACGGATCTGATACAGACTGATCCAGATTTGAACACTTCTATGACGTCACAGAAGTGGNGCTGTTGCGGTAATTGTGTGTGTGTGGGGGGGGGCGCAACTTCCAACAGGAGTCATTTGGGGGGGCTCTTGGGAAAAAAAGTTGGGAACCCCTGCTCTAGAAGGTGCTTGAAGGGGTGGGTATTTATTGAAAACAAACCGCTTAGGATCCAAACGAATGCATAGCTTTCCGGGTGGCTACGACAGACAGGCTCTCTCTGCACCAAGAGGTTCCCATTGAACTCTGCAGAGTTGTAATAATGTGTCCTTTCTTGGCTCAAGCCCACAGGATTGTGCACAGTTAGTGACATAATACAAACTATTTGAATACTGCAGCTTTTGTCCCTGATCCCTCCGACAGTATGTTGCTCAATGTTTAGTGAAGGTCTGTTGCTACAGTGATAATTCAATCACAGAGATCCTATCAAAAACACAGCATGCCTTACAAAGCCTGGGTCAGGACAGCCCTATAATGAAGACGACAAAGGTTTATTACCGGTCTCTAATCTTCTAAAAATCACATTATCCGCTGGAGGCTTGAGGAGAGTCGAGGTCTGCAATTGAAGATGATATCTTATACTTAGTAGCTGATAAACTCTAACTTGTGAGCGTGATTGCTACCAAGTATTTAATTGACTGTAATCAGCCGTGGATCCAATAATCACTACTTTCTCTGCCATGTCTGTTTTTCTGTTTTTCATCAGGGATATTTGCCGTAAGGATGTTACGTGCGACTTCTACTTCAGCATGGATTCAGACGTGATGCTCACCAACAGACAGACACTGAAGCTCCTCGTGGAGCAGAACAGGTAATCATATGGTAGCTGGAATAGAAACCGCAGTGGAACCGGTTCAACGAGCCTCCCTGGTGCAGTAGTTGTTGTGATCGTTGAACCTTTGAAAGTGGCAGAACCACAGAAACATTACAGGCGAGTGAATGAAAGTTTAAAAGCAGCCGCTCTGGCTTCCTGTTTTCCACCGGGCACATGGAAACCGTGATAGAGTCTGTTGCACTAACCTCGAAAAGCCACTTTGCTTTTGCACAAAAACAAACATGCTAACCCTTTTTCCCTTCTGCAGCTCGTGAGTTTAAAGAAACCTTCCCATAAACTGGATGTCTTTGTGCCAGTGGCATGGCATGGTGACCTGAAGGCATGCAGCGTAAAACCCCTTCAGGTTATTTAAAGAGTGCATGAGAACTCTCTGCTGGCACTCGAGTTATGGGAGGGAAATGCCAGTGTCTCCACTAAAATAAACGTTAGCATTATTATACTGCAGTGCATCCATATCAACCAACACTGTGATTTATGGTTCCATTATTTCTACTCGGCCAAGTTCATTTCATAAAAGAAAGTCCATTTCATTGTGGTTTTGGTTCGTAACAGCAGTGGAAAAACACATTGTTAATCTGAGCCTATGTCAAACAAATTCAAAGGAACAGAGCAGATTCGTGGCTTAGAAAAAACAGCACACCGTTATGCTGGATCCGCTCGAGTGTGATTTGCAGCTATGGTTTTCATTATGCACTTCTATGATATGTTGGCCGCGATTATATCTTTCCAGAGAGGTTCATCTCCACCATGCAGCAAGCCCTCTCTGTGCAAAGTCACTGATCTTTATCTGCTCTGACAGAATTACCATCTCCACACTCTGCCTCCCGCCTCCCTACAGGAAAATAATTGGTCCCCTTGTCACCCGCCACGGCAAGCTGTGGTCCAACTTCTGGGGAGGCTTGAGCCTGGATGGTTATTACGCTCGCTCCGAAGATTACATCGACATTGTGCAGAGAAAACGTGTGTAAGTGCAGAAGGATACACACAATGCATTTGTATGGTTCACACACCAGTATGATCGCTCATAAATCTTTTAGCAAATAATTCTCTCATGCTTAGCCACATATTGTATGATCCCTTCTATAGGAGCAACATCCTGTCACTAAAGCCACAATCAATGATTTAGTGCTGTACATTAAAGCCTGAGGCGTTTCATTTCTCCTCTCTTTTTTTATGTGTTTAAAAATAAGTTGAAGTGGTGCCCAGATGGTTCACATTTAGACGTTCCCCCACCGCAGGAGAAACCCACATTTAATCACCCGCGACCCTGTGGGCAGGAAGACAGTCTTCAGTCTCCTCCTGTGTGTGTGTGTGTGGGCAGAGAGGGTCAGGATCTGGAGATACCTCAAAGGCAAAAAGGGTAAAGCAAGTTGAATTGGTCGTGTCAAACTGAGGGTAGGGATGTCCCGATCACCTTTTTTTGCTCCCGATCCGATTCCGATCATTTGATTTTGACAATTTGCCGATACCGATTTTTCCCGATCCGATCTTTATGCAATGCATCAAGAGAAAAAAAAGCATTTAAGTTGTCCCTTAAGGTTATTTTTTTTATTTGAATTGGATATTCTATCCAACAATGGATATAGCTTCTTTCTTTCACAGCACATCTGGATCAGTTCAGTTGTGCAGCATTGGATCAAAACAAAATAAAGCTTTCGTACTCGTTAGCTTAGCGCTTACAATTAGACAATCGCGCCCACTCTGTTGCCAGTTTTGAGAGAAATAAGTCACGGGTCTATGAAAACAAGCCCAAAAACGCCACATACATGTATGGTTCTCGTAATTTGAAACCAAAACGAAGCCTTCAGGATGACCTTTTAACCTTGAACATGGTCATTTGTTTGTAACATGATTAAAAAATAAAATAAGTATTTAAAAACATTTTATTTTTTTTATTTTTAAATCCCGATCTCCCGATTTTTTTCTCTCACCGATTCGATCATTTGAAAACTCACCGTGACGGCTCCGATCCCCGATCACGCCCGAATCCCCGATCGCGCGATCAAGATCGGGACATCTCTAACCTGACGGGCGAACCCAACTTCCCCCAAATAGTCAGCTAATGTTAACCGAACAGATACAAGATTCAAAAGGTATTTACAAACACTTGATATCCTGCCTTACTTTACCAAATAGTTCTCTAACAAGTCCCTGCAATACATCTGCAGTCATGAATGCTTAGGGATTCACGCAAAAAGCACAACAAATGCCACTTTGAACAGCCAATGTAACACTATTCATCTCTCTTTCTTGGTGTTTCTAGGGGTTTTGTGGAACATCCTTTCATGGCCATGTATAAGCTCGCTCAAAGGCAGACCTTGAGGAATGAACGAAAAGGGAGGAACTACTTTCGTGCTGGGGACACAACCCAGATATGGCTCTTTGTAGAAATTCAGAGAAATGTAAGAACTCAACCCTCCATCCTTCAGATTTGCGGATCACGATATTAGTGGTGTTAGCGTTTATAAGAACATGTCTGCATGAAGGCAAAAAGCTACTGGAGGTGTATTATACTAGACGATGCATGCTACCCTCGAAAAGTCAACGCTTCAACGGAAGCCCAAGTCGATGCAGTATGATGTTTGAAATTCTTTTGTCTAAAGTCAAGGCATGAACCTGACCTCTGTTGTAAAACAGGTTGCTCTGTGGTGCATTCTGTTCTCCTTCTCCATTCTATCCCAGAATTCCTTCACTTTCTCTATGCTCGTGTCCCACCACGCCTGCTTAAAAAAATTGTCTTGTCCTCTCTTCCCGTTATAATACTGACTCCTTCCCGCGGGTTTTTGTATCCTGCACATGTCATGCTGCTATAAACCACTACCAATGTCCTGCGATCCAAACTTGGTGTACATCTGGATCCGGTTGGTCTTTTCCAGCATCCTGTTTTCCCATGTTAACCACCAAAACATCGCTTGCATGAGGGAACCTTGGCTCTTTTGTCCCAGTGCGCATGTACGTGAAATATTTCATGAGTCACCTGTGCTCTTATTCTGGCCCAACCGATATTTTTGTTTTACGCCAATGCTTCTCTTTATTTTAGACGCAGTCACAGAAAAAAGACCCCCCTTCTCCGGAATCATTCCATAATGCTCAGCCCCAACAGTTCCCATTTGTTTTGATTATTCTGCTTTCTGAAACATACATTGTCCAATGGTTAGGCACTAAGAGCCACCTCCAAGCAGTGCCTCATTTCAGGCAGACTCTTGCAAGGCAATGTGACCGAAGAGAAAGATGGCCCTGTTACAGCCCAATTCTGTCAACACAGTGTAGTATCCAGATAGAACAATTTAATTTCTGTATTACCCATTGGATAGAAAATAGCTTACTTCAGATTTTGCAGTTACATATCAACGATGCAATAGTGCGTTGGCTCTATGCTTAACATACGAAAACAGGGTGCCTAGGCAGCTCCTTGAAATCTGATGTTGACATATGCTTTAGTCTAGGTCCTAACATCTGATAGTTTGTCCCAGCTAAAAAAAAGGGTTAAAACGCTGGTTTTATATCGCTGGTTTTCAATAGGATCCAAAGAGTGATGAGTGAGGAGGAAGGTTGGAGTCCCCTGTCGCTGATGCTGTTACCCAAACCAAACAAGCGAAACACATGTAACGCAGGCTGGCTCGCCTGAAACACACCGACGATCTCAGACAGGCTCAAACACATTTCCTTTCACGCGTGTGAAGCCATCTGGCCCCAATCAACGCTTATTTGTAACATAAATTGGAAAGCAGCACTAAGAATAACAAAAGTACTGAATTCCTTCAAGCCTAGTCTGATAGGAGTCTAAACCCCCCGACACAGCGTGCTTCACTGTAGAGGGAATCATTATTCCTGATGTGCTTGATCCCAGAGCTTCTCCCCTGTTCTCACCCACTGCGACCCTGTCCTGCGTTCCCCTCCCACCCAAACCCATCAAATAAAAAATGCTCTAAGTTATTATACCATACCAAATCAAAAAACCAATCCAAGTTCAAACACAGATAAAACAAACTTAACACACCAAAAATGTTTGGCAAAAAAATGAAGCTAGTATATACACAAACAAAGTCCAATATACCAGTCGCTTAGCCATTGATGATTAGCATAATACCGGCTATACCTGGCAGAGGGCGTTGATGTGCATGTATCTGTAGAAATCCTGCCTGTGAGACATTTAAAAGAGATTTTAACTTGTGTGAAACTGACTAACTTTTCCCCCCCGTCTGCTGCGGGACTCTTTCATGTACATACACAAACCCGTCACGACTTTGGGAGGCCATTCCACAAGCCAATTTATAACACTTCTCATTATAACACATAGACTTGTGGCAGATATTTGAACCCCCAACGGTAAGTCATTATGATCTCGGCATTATTCTCGGTTTAGCACCAAGAAACCTATTATATGTTTCCAGAATGGCTGAGTAACAGCCGCCACCTGTAAAGGGTTATACCATAATGGAAGGATTAGAAGATGTTGTGACGAAGGAGGTAATGACTCAGGCGTGATAAGATCCTGACTGAAAGGCCGTGATCACCACNCTATGACGTCACAGAAGTGGCGCTACGGCTATTGGGCCAACTCCACCAATCAGGAGGAGACAGCCACGGACATTGCCGTTGGAAAGCGCTGGAGACGCTGTAGTACATATGCCAGGCCTGTAGATGGTGCTGTTCTCACAGAATCCGCCCATGATGCAAAGACACTGTTACATTGAGCGAAATGAGGAATGGCTAAAATGCATGATCTGTTTGGTAAAAAAGTATAAATATGCCTTATATAGGTATGGTCCTACACTATATTATTCAAATATAGCATGATAGGTCCACTTTAAAGTCAGTTAATGTTGTGTTACAATACAAAGTCAGAATTCTCGGAGAAAGGTCAACATTTTTAGATTCAAGTCAAAATTGCTGCGAAAAAAAAATTCAAGGGAAAAAAAGGACCTCAATCCTCTTCCGTATTCCTAAATGTTATCCCAAAGGTAGTTCACCACATGCAACACTAGACAAATTATAACATATCATTACATTTCTGGGGTTACTAACATGTGCTTTATTCGTTTTACTTAGAGTAAAGTCAAAATCAAATCAAAATTGCTGAGAAAAAAGTTGAAATTCCAAGAAGAAATGAAACTCCTGAGGCTCCAGTCCTCATCTTTGATTCCTGAATGTTGTCCCACACTTAACTCACCACCTTGCTTTATGTATGGGCCATATTGCGACACTAAACAAATGATATATCATCATTTTAAAATGCACTTTACATTTTCGAGGTAACTAACATGTGCTGTATTAGTTTCCTAAGATGGTCCCTGTCATTCTAACTCGGTGGGATTTGAGGATGTGCGGTGGAATCCATCGAAGGACTGAAGCGTAGCTTAACGTTGTGGAACAGATGGAGTCCTGTCACTGAAGTCTTAAAGAAAATATGAACGAGTCTGTTAATCCTTAATTTAACTCCACTCCTCATGTCGCTGTGACAGTTCGGTTTTCTTTTTAAAAATCTTATGAATCGTTGTTGACTGTCACATTGATTTATTCATATTAGATATGCCTTGAGTTTCTGAAGTATAAGAAGTAAACAGAGAGAGGAAGTAGCAACTGAAAGTCAAACTCGAGGCCCGGGGGCCAAATCAGGCCCTTGGTGGATTGAATTTCGGCCCGCAGGATAATTTCTAATTCCTATTAGATCTGGCCCTCCGGTATATTGCACGCACACCTTCACTCCATCCTGAGGGTCTCCTCAGCTCAGAGCCTGAGCCCAAACATTGATGACCTTGCACCCAAGATGAGATGCCAAGTATCTGAGCTAGCATCACAGAGCAGCACACTGAGTTTAATGGATGTTTCCTTCTGCACTTTCTCTCTCACGACAACAGGGCATGTTTGGTTTCTCTTTGAGGGAAATAGTTTTGTTGAAGCTGTTGTTGGCCTGTGGGAAAATGTACTCATAAGAAATGACTCTGGAAAAGCTGCAGATAGAGCCATAAGAAATGAATCAACTGATTATTTAATGTTTAATGTTTTTATAGGCAATCATTTAAGCTTTGTTAGTTCCAGGTTTAATATGTGCAATAAGTTCATTTCAATAAGTTCTGCAATAAACATTGAACCAGTCCGGCCCTCCACTAGTACCGAGTTTTTAATTTTGGCCCATCACTGTGTGTTTGAGTTTGACCCCCCTGGTTTAAATGTTGAATAAATGTAGGTAGGCAGGTTTAAATTAACTCATAATCATAAAGTAAAACAGCATCTTTTCCATGATCCATATAAACTACAGTGCTTTGTATTTGGAAATGATCCCTGGGTTTATGCAGAAATGCACCGTATTCATCCAGTCAAACCCCTTTATTGACCGAAAGTCATTTAACTATGGATCTGTGTATTGATAGGAGAAATCACTATTTATGAACTTTCTATTTACAATCAGGAGTCTGAAACTTGGCCTCCTTTCGATGCACGAGCAGCAACATCATCGAATGATTGCAGTCTAGCTTGTAAACCGTGGAGCAGATGTACGTTCATGAGCATTAAATGAATTAAAAAGGGATGATGAATAATTAAGCAGCATGTAAAATAACATCAACAGTATGTAAAGAGTTCAGTATCCAAGCCTAAGTGTCTTTTAATAAACTAGTCTCTACAGCGTTGTCGGCGCCAAGAAAGGTTTGGCTCAACACAATTTCATTCTGGTGTTAAAAAAAACAAACTCTCTGGATTTTATTTATTTAATCACACACCAGTTTTTGGGCAGTGCTTCGCCCGGGATGCAGCAGAACAGATACAGATGGCCTAAAGGGAGGAGAATGCGTCCAAATCATCTTGCTGGTACTTCGACGAAAAAAGAATTGAGTTTATTCAGTCAACCTTATATTGGCAGGTGTATCGCCCGGGATGGCACAGCGTTGAGTGTGAAGTTCTTGTGAGCTGCTTTAGTCCGAGCAATCGAAAATATATGATTTGTATCAAGCCATGCACTCGTTCAATCAAATGCAATGTCTCTGCATTATTTATTTAAACAGCCAAGTCAAATACAGGAAAGATATATAACCCCACAAAACACAACACAGGGTTAGACTAGGTTTTCTTTTTCAGAAACAAGTCCTGTTTCTCGCTTGAGGCCAGGAAAAGGCTCTGTGACCTTTTGACCTATGGTGATTTGATCTATATGAATGCACCTGCCCATTGCCTGGAAAAGTGAGATGCCGCCTATCACAGTGCACTGAGATGTGTTACTAACTGGAGGCTCAGTCATTAGTACGTGTTTATCTATAAAGCCATGTTGGGTAAACTACCAACTTATATCTGCTCTTTGA